GATGGACTACCCCGGCCAAGAAAAGAAGGACTGACCAACGACTTTTCTCCCCTAGGGGCAGAACGTTGGGGAACCAAAGGGACGACTCCCACTAGGCCATAGTCTCCACTCCCTGGGCTACAACGTCTGGTCTGTGGCAACATGACTGTCTGGTTAAGGGCAAAAGCTTAACTGGAAATAGCCACCGTGACCATACATTGGACTTTAAGGATATAACTCCACACAAGATTCTCACGATTTTCAAGATCATCCAATCATTGGGAACTTCAACCGGCGCAATTAACATACTCTTATATCTGTTGATTGTAGACATGGGACCTCCAAGCCACCCAAGTCTTACCCAGGAACATTTGACAAGATAAAGCGCACGTCCACACCAAGGGTCGATATGGACTACGCCTCCTGGGCTTCACATTTCTTATACCCAAGACCAGGGACACAGAGCTCGGGAAGGACTGGTTCAGTTACGCTGGGTGACAACTGATTATAAGGTCGTATATCACATTGTATAAAAAATAAAATAAAATAAAAAAGTCCACTGTTGGCCTTGAGATTGATGTTAATAATATAGTTCACTTCTGACCCCGACACCACGGAGAGAAATACCAGTATAGATATGCATTGTTGCCTAGCAGGAGACGGATAGCTTGGGGGATAGAAATAAGTAGCAGAATGTGTTCTACTTCCCCCCTGGGTTTCCTTCCCTTTTCTTATCCTTCCTCTGGTATAGATTACTCATTCTATTCCACAACTTCTGGTACATACACTAGAATAGACATGTTGCTCCTACCCCATACCTACCTCAATTTGATAAAAACAGCATCATATGGTCCCATCACATGGTCTGACCATGCTCCACTGACCCTAGATATAACAATACCCTCTTTAAATAGGGCCGCCCCTCAATGGAAACTGAATGATCTTCTCCTAAATAAGGAGGAGGTCATAGAACAAATTAAAACAAGTGCGCAGAGGTACTTCGAAACCAATTCAAGCCAGGACACTAGGCCAGATGTGATATGGGAAGCTCACAAATGCGTCCTCAGAGGAGAAATCATTAAAATAGCCTCAGCTCAGAAAAAGCTTAGAGAAGCTAACATAGCATCCTTAACCCGGGATATAAGAAACCTAGAGCTCAATCACAGTAAGGACACTACGATACACACTTACAACACTTTAATAGCTAAAAGGGCGGAACTTAAAACCATTCTCAACCTACAGGCTATCAGATCTGTGCAAAGGACCAAACACTCATATTTTACACAAGGGGGCAAATGTGGTAAACTACTCGCGCAATCTCTACAACAACAAAGACAATCAACATTCATATCACACATTAAGCTACCAGATGGTTCAGTGACACAATTAATGCCGAAAATCATGTCGGCATTCCACACATATTACTCTTCCCTCTATAATATAAGAGACACAGTACCCCCCCGAAGACAAGATACGGGAATTTCTAGCTAGTCGAATTAATACCACTATTCCGCGCAACTTGGCGGAATTTCTGGACAAACCCATCACCACTGAAGAATTCCACGATGTAGTTAAACAACTCCCACTAGGAAAGAGTCCTGGGCCAGATGGCTACACAGGCAAATACTATAAGGTTGCACAACAGATCCTAGCAGAACCTTTTGTGCGAGCATTTAACTCTACACACAACACGAGTATGGCTCCACAAGAGACATTAAATGCCACCATAACACTACTACCCAAACCAGGCAAGGACCTTACAAATTGTGGGAGTTATAGACCTATATCCCTAATGAACGTGAATCTAAAACTCTTCACCAAGATCCTGGCCAACCGACTGAAACCGCTTCTTCCTGACCTGATACATCAAGACCAAGTGGGGTTTGTGCCGGGTAGGGAGGCCAAAAACAACACCACGAAAATCATCAACATAATGCATTGGGCAAAAGTCAATAAAATTCAGAGTGTACTACTGGCTATTGATGCCGAAAAGGCATTTGATAGGGTTGATTGGTCCCTCATGACAGCCACGATGGAACATCTGGGTTTAGGACCCAGGTGGTTAAAATGGTTGGGGAGACTATATTCCACACCGACTGCTCGAATACGCATCAATGGCCAGCTCTCAGAAGCGATATATATTAGGAACGGGACCAGACAGGGGTGTCCACTCACCCCACTGATTTTTATCCTCGTGCTAGAACCATTCATTCAGGGAATACGAAATAACCCACACATACACGGCATCACAATAGGAAATATAGATTACAAAGTCTCTGCCTTTGCAGACGACTTGCTTTTCACGATCTCTAAACCACTGCAATCTATCCCGCATACACTAGCGGAAATGAGTGCATACAGTGACGTCTCAAATTTCCAAGCAAATCTCACAAAAATGTGAGATCCTCCCTTTGCACACAACCCTAGATACAGATAAGTACATACAGAAAAACTTCAATTTTACGTGGGCAACGAAATCAATAAAATATCTCGGAATACACCTGCCACACCAACTAAAACACCTCTATGACTTAAACTACGCCCACTTCTGGAAGCCGTCTCTAAAGATTTTAAGGCTTGGAATAAACCATGCTACGGATGGTTTTGTAGAATAAGCATTATAAAAATGATGATATTGCCACGCATCCTCTATACTTTACAAACAGTCCCAATAAAGCTGCCAGTTAGTTTCTTCTCCATAATCAAGGGGACACTGACATCATTCATCTGGTCACAATCCAAACCTAGATTACCACTACAACTCTTAACTCAACCAAGGGAGAAAGGGGGAATGGGCATTCCTGACATAGAACAATACTATAAAGCGGTGCACTTGTCTCGGATCTATGAGTGGACGAAGGAAAAACCCTCCCAGCAGTGGGTGAACATAGAGAGGGAACAATGCCTAGCACCCCTTGAATCACTCCCATGGCACAAACTGAACACTGCACTTCTCAAACATAAACAACACCCGCTCATCTTAACTACACTACAGACATCGCCAAGATACCATATTACGCGTAACCCATTGCTGCCATCAGGTATCACAGGTAGAACTTATGAGCTTCACCGAGGGGCCGCAAACATAACACTCCAAGACTTGACCAAGGGTAATGCATCACTAACATTGCAAGATCTAACTCTCGGCCAACCCCCCACGAGTATGCAACAATTACATTATTCACAATTGAAACATTTCATGGGTAGCCAGAAGCTGCTGCCAGGGGTAAACAGGGAACTGTCAACCTTTGAACAGCTGTGTACAACACATCCTTTAAAAAAGAAATTGTTATCTACAATGTACAAATTACTGTTACACTCAGACAAAACTGACATTCCTGGTTTCGCCACCAAGTGGACTAGAGAAATGAATTTAGACATTTCAGGGGAGCAATGGAAACACATTTTCACCAGAACCCACAAAATATCCATTGCAACTTCCAACCAGGAAAGTAACTATAAACACCTAACCCGCTGGCACTACCTGCCTTCCAAACTAAGCAAAATGTTCCCAGGAACACAAAATATTTGCTGGAGATGCGGGCAGGGGGAGGCTAATCCAACACATATCTGGTGGCAATGTCCTACAATCAAAAAGTTTTGGATCCGCATACACAAACTCACACAGATTATTATGCACAAACAGATACCCTTCGCACCGGAACATCTAATATTTATGATGCCTCTCCAAAATCTCACTAAAAAGGAAAATTATTTGACATCCCAACTGCTCATGGCAGCAAACCACCTAATTCCAGTATACTGGAAACAGGAAAAGATCCCTTCTATTAGGGAATGGACCAACAGGGTAGAAAGTATTAGACAGATGGAAGGTATAACATACGCCTTATCAAAAAATTACATAACCTTCGCGCAAACATGGAAACCTTGGTCGATATACCTAGAAGGGGCGGAATGAGAAGTAAGATTTAGGAAACAGCACAAATAACAACACCAGATATGGGGGAATAATCAAATTGCCACAAGTACAACTCTTAAAGGGCACGAATATGTAGCACCATTCACACTTCGTAGTTAGTAGTATGAAAACTGTTCTGGGAGAAACATATCCTATGCAATATTCATCATTAATTGTATAATGCTTGTCCAAAACTCAATATGTGTCATCATCTGTATTATGATTATCAATATCTATTGTAAATGTTATGCAACATTACTTGTTAAAGCCACGCTGTTGTGGTTTCGGATGTAATTAATGTATACATAATTACTGTTATGAAACTTGAAAATCAATAAAAATATAATTAATAAAAAAAAAAATTACAGCTGAGCCAAAAATAGCACTAGATGGAATCTTTGAATTTAGCTTTGGAAGAATATAAATCAAAATCTAAAGCATGGCTGTCAGGAGGATCACCAGCAGGGCCCAGAGCAGCTGCCCCGTGGGCCCTGTGATTTCAGCAGCCCCCCATGTACCCGGCGACTAAGGAGGCCCCCGGGTGGCCCATGCACTAAGGGCCACCCTGTGGGCATGTGGCAGAAGGGGCCCGGTCGGGCGCTGTGACGCTTAAACAGCGCGACCGGGCCCCTTCCTGTACCGGCTGGGAGGAAGTGAGTACCGCGTGTCACTTCCTCCCACCGGAGATAGCCGCGCGGGAGGAGGAAGGCAGGGAGGAGGGGAGTTCCAGAGAAGAACTCCCATCTGCCTCAGCCTGCCACTGGACCCCAGGGAAACCACCCTCCATAAAAAGGTAAGAACCTGGAGGGTGGCTTAATGTATGTCAGTATGTGTGTGTGTTAGTATGTCTGTGTGTGTGTTTGTTAGTATGTCTGTGTGTGTGTGTGTTAGTATGCCTGTGTGTGTTAGTATGTCTGTGTGTGTTAGTATGTCTGTGTTTGTGTGTTAGTATGTCTGTATGTGTGTGTGTTAGTATGTTTGTGTGTGTGTGTGTGTTAGTATGTCTGTGTGTGTGTTAGTATGTCTGTGTCTGTGTGTGTGTTAGTGTGTTAGTATGTGTTTGTGTGTTAGTATGTGTGTGTGTTAGTATGTCTGTGTCAGTATGTCTGTTTGTGTATGTATGTCAGTATGTCTGTGTGTGTCTATGACAGACATACTGACATACACACACACACAGACATACTGACACATACACACACACACAGACATACACACACACTGACATACACACACACATACTGACATACACACACACAGACATATACACACACAAACATACTGACATACACACACAGACATACTAACACACACAGACCTACTGACATACACACACAGACATGCTGACATACACAGACATACTGACATACACACACAGACATACTAACACACCACACAGACATACTAACACACACAGACATACTGTGTGTATGTCTGTGTGTTTGTATGTCAGTATGTCTGTGTGTGTATGTCAATAGACACACACAGACATACTGACATACATACACAAACAGACATACTGACACAGACATACTAACACACACACATACAAACACACAAACACATACTAACACACTAACACACACACAGACACAGACATACTAACACATCTCACTGTGTTCCAGTGTGTGTGTGTATGTCAGTATGTCTGTGTATGTCAATACGCCTGTCAGTATGTGTCTGTGTGTGTCTGTGTCAATATATCTGTCAGTGTATGTGTCTGTGAGTATGTATGTGTCTGTGTGTGTATCAGTATGTCTGAATGTGTGTCAATGTTTGCCAGTATATATTTTTGTGTCAGTGTATGTGTGTGTCAGTATGTATCTGCGAATGTTTTAATGTGTCTGTCTGTGTGTGTATGTGTCAGTATGTCTGTCAGTGTGATTGCGGGTTGGGCGTAATGGGGAGGGAGGATGCAGTGACAGGGCCCAGGGGGCCCAAGAAAAGGCTTTGCCCGGGGTCCTATTCATATTATAGACGGCCCTGATCACCAGAATTATCCATTTGAGAGAGGATTGGAGTGCAGGATATTCTCTTTCATTGTTCAAACTGAGCTCAACTCCTGATGCATGGAGAAAAGGTCTTCACAAGCCTCTGCTATTGTGTACATCGTTTATACTAAGTGACCCATAGGTTGAGGAGGCGGTGACCGTGGGGGTATAGGTGGAAGCGGCGGTGGAGGAGGAGGAGGTAGCCAACACTATTTTTTATATATATATTTTTTAATTGAGGTAGCCCCCAAAATATTGGGACATATAAAAAAAGAAAACTGTTTCGTAGAGCGACTGACCCGTGCGTGCTACATCTGAAACTCCACTATCGCCTGCTGCTACTCGCACAGTCTCATGAGGCAGTGAGCGGGAAGACCGAAGTTACGCTGCAGCACAGACAGGTGCAGAGTGAGAACGCTGAAAGCACAAACAGACGGCCCGCACATTCTGCAGCAGCTCTGATATATCTGGGTATACACCGTGGCTGTGTAGGTGGAAGCGGCGGTGGAGGAGGAGGAGGCAACAAAAGGCAAAGCTCTGTACCCAAATAAAGATTGTCAAACATTGTATCCTGGAACTGTGTCCCATCCGGTTACTGGGGAAATGGGTCTGACCTATTCTAATCGAAGGGGATAACCATTACCCAGGACCTGCTTCAATTGGTGGCAAGCGGCGGGATCCCATGTCCCTGCCAACAGACCCATGGACTACAGTGCTCTAAAGCGACCTACACTGCAGGACTTGTGTGGAGCAAGAGGAATAACGTCTGGTGGGCGTAACAAGGCCAACTTGACTGCTGTGCTCATGTAAGGAAGGCAGCAGGCGCGCAAATGACCCATTCCCGACGCGGGAAGGCATTGACGACAAATAACAATACAGGACTCTTTAGAGGCCCTGTAATTGTAATGAGTTCACTTGAAATCCTTTAACTCTGATCAATTGGAGGGCAAGTCTGGTGCAGAGCGGCTGACCCATGCGTGCTGCAGCTGAAACTCCACTATCGCCTGCTGCTTCTCGCACAGTCTCTCCAGCATGTGCAAGGTGGAGTTCCACCTTGTGGGCACATCGCATATAAGGCGGTGAGCGGGAAGGCCAAAGTTACGCTGCAGTGCAGACAGGCAAACAGCAGCAGGGTGAGAACGCCAAATGCGCACACAGCCACTACAGTGAATGTCACATCCTGTTCCAAGTTGCGGATCAGTCTGGTGATGGCTTCTGGTATCCAGTACTCTTTTTACTGAAGCTGCATCAGGGTCCTGGTATGTGGCCACACAAATGCTGGTGCTCAACACCAGGGGGTGTGCGGTTACCCTGCACCAGACCCTGCTAATCCATTCCACACTGTGACTCCTAACTTCAACATCAGGTATACTGGGTCCCGGTCGTCCGACCGCCTCCCATACAGTGTCTGGGTCCCAGTCACCGGACTGCGAAACTGCGAATGGCTCGTTAAATCTGTTATGGTTCCTTTTACCACTGAATCTGTTACTTTGATAACTGTGGGAATTCTAAAGATAATACATGCCGACGAGCGCTAAGGGACGGCCGCTACGCTTTTGCACCCTTCTCCCTCTTATGCTGTGCTGGTGCCTCTGTGCGACCAGTGCCTCTTCCTCCAAACTGCACACGTCACTCGCATGACCTTGATTCCATTTGGGGTCTAGGACCTCATCATCCTCCACATCATCTTCCACCCACTCCTCAACCCTGCCCTCATTGCCGGTCTGCACACTGCAGAAAGCCACAGCAGTTGGCACCTGTGTTTTTCCAGCATGTAAAGTCTGCAAAGGACATATGGAAATTGTTTTAGAATTGTATCCAGGCAACAGTTTTCCCAATAACTGACCTCTCAGATTGACTTGTGAGGGTATTGCCCCCGAATTACAATATTGTTATATTGGTATTTGACGCTTCTATTTGACTCTGAGATATGAAGAGCACGTTAAAAATTAACTATTTAGCAGTTTAGCAGCAAAACAATTAGAATGTTTAGAACTGCGCTGTAAGCGCACTATTTGACGCATCTATTTGACTCTCAAATATGAAGAGCACGCCCAAAATGTACTATTTAGCAGATTAGCACCCAGAAAATAAGAATGTTTACAACTGCGCTGTAAGCGCACTATTTGACGCTTCTATTTGACTCTCAGATATGAAGAGCACACCCAAAATGTACTATTTAGCAGATTAACACCCAGAAAATAAGAATGTTTACAACTGCACTGTAAGCGCACTATTTGACGCTTCTATTTGACTCTCAGATATGAAGAGCACACCCAAAATGTACTATTTAGCAGATTAGCACCCAGAAAATAAGACTTTTTACAACTGCGCTGTAAGCGCACTATTTGACGCCTCTATTTGACTCTCAGCTATGAAGAGCATGCCCAAAATTTACTATTTAGCAGTTTAGCAGCAAAACCATTAGAATGTTTACAACTGCTCTGTAAGCGCACTATTTGACGCTTCGATTTGACTCAGATATGAAGAGCAGGCCCCAAAATGTACTATTTAGCAGATTAGCAGCAAAACAATAAGAATTTTTACAACTGCTCTGTAAGTGCACTATTTGACGCTTCGATTTGACTCAGATATGAAGAGCATGCCCAAAATGTACTATTTAGCAGATTAGCAGCAAAACAATTAGAATTTTTACAACTGCGCTGTAAGCGCACTATTTGATGCTTCTATTTCACTCTCAGAGATGAGGAGCACGCCCAAAATGTACTATTTAGCAGTTTAGCAGCAAAACAATTAGAATGTTTACAACTGCGCTATAAGCGCACTATTTAACGCTTCTATTTGACTCTCAGATATGAAGAGCACGCCCAAAATGTACTATTTAGCAAATTAGCACCCAGAAAATAAGACTTTTTACCACTGCGCTGTAAGCGCACTATTTGACGCTTCTATTTGACTTTCAGATATGAAGAGCACGCGCAAAATGTACTATTTAACAGATTAGCACCAAGAAAATAAGAATGTTTACAACTGTGCTGTAAGTGCACTATTTGACGCTTCTGTTTGACTCTCAGATATGAAGAGCACGCCCAAAATGTACTATTTAGCAGATTAGCAGCAAAACAATTAGAATGTTTACAACTGCGCTGTAAGCACACTATTTGACACTTCTATTTGACTCTCAGATATGAAGTGCACCCCACTAATGTACTTTTAACACCCAAAACATTTTAAGTTTTAAAACTGCAATGTGACAGCAGTATTTGACTCTTCTATTTGACTCTCAGATATGAAGTGCACCCCACTAATGTACTTTTTAACACCCAAAACATTTTAAGTTTTAAAACTGCAATGTGACAGCAGTATTTGACGCTTCTATTTGACTCTCAGATATGAAATGCACCCCACTAATGTACGATTTAGCACCAAACAAAATTGACTTTTTAAAACTCTGATGTAACCGCAGTATTTGACGCTTCTATTTGACTGTCAGATATGAAGTGCACCCCACTAATGTACTAGTTTGCAGAATTATTTACTAAGCTGTTCCTCACAGCGACCGCATCCACTCCCTATACTGATAAGAACTCATGTGCCTTCGGCGCTACGCGACTCCAGCTTATATATAGAGGCTGAGTCACATGCTACACTGGCCAATCACAGCCATGCCATTAGTAGGCATGGCTAAGATGGCTTCTAAGGGCACACGAGTCAAACGCTTGTTGATTGGCTGCCCTGCAGCCTTTCAAAACACTCCATTAAATCGCTGAACACCGAACTCCAACCCGAACATACAGTGATATGTCCGGGTTCGCTCAACTCTATTTATAAACTTTTATTTAACTTTTTCTAACTTTCAAAACTTTTTTTCAAGCACTAGGGGGACTGCCTTAGAGCTCAGGCAGGCCCCCTGCAGGCACTGCACAAGCCGGCTATTCCAGCCATGTGATTGCGAGGACCCCCCCGATCACAAGGCCCAGGTGGGCCGGATCAGGCAGTGGGGGTCTTCCTGAGTTCCTAGCCAGACCCCAGGATTGCGATCACTGGTGGGGCATTGCCAGCGATCAGGTAAGTGGCTATTTACTAACTGACGTAACATGTACGTCCGCGGTCAATAACAACCGTTTTTTGGCGGACGTACCTGGTACGTCACCGGTCAGGAAGGGATTAAAGAACTGTGACTTTTACCAGTTGTTTTTAGATACACCCCCTATAAAAAAAATGTATTAATAAATGCATGCAAAATTTAATTTGGGATATATCTACTAAACAGTGATTTTGTATTTTTTTTTTTTTAGGAGTGGAGAGTCCCTTTAACAAAATTGTATTTTTAGGCTTTCTTCACAAAAGTAACAGGGTTATTCACTAAAGTAAGAACTCCGAGTGAACAACAAATTTAAGGTCAATATAGCTGAACTAGAAAAAAATCTCTACATAGGAGCCAATACAAACAATTGTCTAGAAATCTATTCATAAACAGAATTAGACATAGAACATGCATGTAGACTGGAAGAAAGTAAATTTAGTCTAAGGCAAAGGAAACTGATTTTTTTTTACAGAAAGGAC